CCTGAGGTGAGGCGTACAGCATTTCTATGCACAATGCAATCTCTCACACGGTTCATCACTGACTTACACTTGACATCTCCTACGTCAGACGGCTCCAGTCTTTTGTTGCTCACAACGACAACAGCTCTGCGAGGCACTGGTGAGGCAGACATGTCTGTTTGAAGGGAAACAGAGATTTCTTGTAAAAAGTGTTTCTCTGGACAAAGACACAGCCACCGCTGAGGTTAAGAAGCTGATTTTCCAAGGCAGAAAATCATACAATCAAAAGTGTTTTGTGGATATAGCAGGTGGATTTGGGTATGAATTTCCCTCTTAAAATGTCAAATATCATATATGATTCTAAATATATTGCCTAATAAGCCCCTAATCCAGTCTGTTTGATAGGTTACAATCAGAAGGAAAAATCCACAAAGGTCGTACGGTCCAGTTGCCTGCAGCAGAAACCTGTGAGTAGCTGTTCGGTTCTGCTCTTAAGTTTTATTTATTGAGACCAAAACAAAAACGTGCGTGTCATTTTAGGTGGCCCAACCACGTTTCGCAGCTTCCGACTCTCTTGCTCCTCAGAAAATGGATTCTGGACTGTTTGTCCTGTAAGGAAAAATGAAAGAAGTTCAACTGTCAAAGTGAAGGAGGCCCAAGCCTTGGTTCCTGTTGGTGGTCATGAGACATTTCAATTTGGCATTTGCCATCGCCAGGTATGCAAAATTCTACCTTCATGTTTGTTTTGTTGAGCTCAGTGTCAGAAATTACAAGTGTATAAATTAACTTATACAGTATGTATGGTTATTTGGGTTAGGCAACTGTTCCTCCCTGTCGTCTTCCTAATTCCAACTAATGTTGTACTTCTCTTTATAGAACAGAACAGATTTTGTTCAAAAATACTATTCCAGTGGGGTGAGATTTCTAACTGTATTCCCTGATGGATCAGCCCAGTGCCTGTATCCACTTAAATTGATAAAAAAAAATTGATAATAAAAAAAAGAGCCAGAAAGAAGTCAATAAAAAATGTAACTTAAAACACAAGGCCACATGCAGGCTGCAGTGGGTTCCATCCTTATCGTCACGGTAACAGTTATCCCTCAGGCCTCTTGGCACTGATAGTCGTGGTCACAGAAGGAAATGGAGGAGTCTGCATCCTGTATGATGACAGCGATGTCCCCAAGCGGTCGATCAGAGCTGTGTTCCAGTCTGACGGAAGAGCAACATGCTATCACAGCAGTGGAAACATATGGTACAAAGCACAGCTTATTCATCACTGATTCAGCTATGAAGAGTTGTTAAGTATATTTGTTTATATCAATGTAAATAGACATCAGGCTAATTACCTTATCATTCTCCCTAACTGTAAATGCATCTGTGTTTTAATTTGCTGCAGGTTGTCTTTAACCAAAACAGGGGGTCAGTGTTTGGATGAAGCCGGGGCCAGAGTTCGTCAGTGGACCTGGAGCAGCCTGACACACACACCGCTGCGTCCTGTCTTCCTGTCCCTCAACAGAACTCTGGGAGTCAGAGTACTTGGACCGAAACAAGTGTTTGTTACTTTTTTAGCACAAGGAAAACAAGCAAAATTCAGCGTGGGAGCCTGCTGTGATCAGATAGAGGTTGTTTTTTTTTTTTTTTGCAAGTTCTCTAAATATTTACCTAATATTTACCTGAACAAATAAGTCCAATGATAATAAGTCACAAAAAAGCATTAAATAAACAACTGGATGTGGTGAATCTAAATTTTTAGGATGATGCTCAAAGACCTGTCTCACAAACCAAGGAGGAGCTGTTTGTGTTAGCCACCAGGATGAAGATCCACATGACCATTCAAAACCTGCACCAGTTATTGAAGACACCCTCCTGCCCTAAACTGCCCAAAGAGCCCCACTGACTCACATCAGATGCTCCAAGACATCAGTACACATGTGAGTGACGGTGAAAGAGACTTTGCTCTCCTTGGAAATGAATAGCTCTTGATGGTAGACGGTATTGGAGACCAAAGGTCAAGGTTAAATCTTGGCCTTGACATTAAACTTAATGCGACAGAAACCTTGGGGCCAGACACTCAAATAAAATGAAATAATCAAATTTTTGTCTGATATTATTATTTGATGTTAACTGTGGAATCCCATCGTGGGCCAGAGTTGAAGGTTGATGATCAACGCACAAATAATCCTTACAACTCAGCCCACACAGTGTGGCACTGGTACTTTACTGTTAAAATCTGACATTGTACCGACATCAAGACATCTCTTTGGCTTTTATCTACTCCTATCAGTGCAGACTAAAGCCTTGCTAACAACATTAGGTCGACCAGATGGCCCAAATAACTCATTACCCAACATAAACATGAGCGTTTGTCTTCCTTTATCTTTACATTACTCAGACATTTGCTTTGCAGATCTGACCTGGTGTTCCTGGCTGGCTATTTCAAAGTGAAATTTCATCATCAATTCTACTGCAATGTCCAGTCAACACACCACAAATAAATAGTTACAAGACGTTTTTATTCATCTTCATAGTTTTCCCAAGTTATGCAAATATAAAAATTATTCAGAAATCATACAAGAAACAATTTCCTAATGTTATTTTCACAATGTCGAGGTGTTTAAGACTGACTAGTTTTATTAACTTAAACTTAAAAAAACAAAAACAAAACCTACATATGGCTCAGTGGTACAATTGATGAGTGTTTTATTCACATGGACGAGTTAAAGAATTAATCATATTTCTCTCTTCGTGGAACCACTGGAAACACCTGATGACGACATCTGCAAATGTGTGACGAGTACAACACGTAAGGGGGCAGGGAGTAAGGGTGGCACTGCAGCACTCATCCCACTCTGGCGTCCGGGGCAGGATGTCTCGAAAAGGACACAGTGAAGAATGATGGGAGTATCCAGTCTGTGCTAACAGAGTGACTGCTTTCAGCACAGACCTTCATGAACATCACTTCACAGCCCAATGAGAAACCCACCTCAAACCTAGACATTAGAGAACAAATACCAGGACCAAATGTTTTAATTATTAATAATAATTAGAATAAGATGAATATGACTAATAATAATACTACTTCCACTGAAACAGAATCAGTGGGAATACCCAAAACTGAACAAAAACCTTTGTCAAATTCAAAAGACTAATTTGACTACTGTACTCACATGGAGGGGCTTTTAGCTTCTAGCCAGGACTTGAAGGGGGGTTAGGAGTGGTGGTGAGGTCTTGTGTTCATGTGAACGTTCATTTTCATCTCATTGTCCAAAATCTGTACAAGCTGCTGCATGGAGGGCAAGTGACCAGACTCCAGTTTGGACCATACTGGCACATCTGTGGGGAAAACACAAAAAGAAAAAAAATAACCTTAGAACTCAAACATCAACCGAGGCCGGGAATCAAGGCTGTCAATCTAACACACACCTGTGTTTAATATATCAATATTGAGACTGGTAATGGTTTTGTGCAACTGATTTAAAACTGAAACCACTCACCATTTAGTGTGATTTCAAAAGCTCCAGTGGACATCAGCTGATTTTCAATCATATTGCTGAAGAAGAAAACCATCATGCAGGCATAAATCTGTTAAGAAAACAATGGCATCTTAGATTACAAATACTGCTAAAAAGGCAGATGATAAAATATTGTTTAATAGGAAAACACAGTTCAAAGTCACTGGTCATTGTAACCACCAAGAACTTAGTATAAAACCCACGGGACAAATAATTAGCATGCCAAGAATGGGAGGCAGATGAGCAGCTAATGAAATCCCACGAGCAGCTGAAATGAGCTGTTTATGAGACACAGTCAAGTCCAATTGCCTTCATGACTAGGTTTTGGGTACAAAAACAAAAACCAGATTGAACTAACTACAATTTTTAACAAACACAATGGCATTAATAACATATTCACTGTTCATATATTGCCAATAGTTTGAGTAAGATTTACCTTGTTACCCTGACCCCACTCCCAGATACCTGGGGCTTGCATACCAAAGAGGGCAAAAGGGTCTCTGCCAATTATTATCAGACCGATCACCAGTAGTTTGAACACAGAGAGAAAGGAAGCGATGTGTCTGAGAAACAAAGACAAGAAACTTATATTAATACAAATTAATTGCTATTGTTCTGTAATGTAAATAAACAATAAAGTTTAATGGCAGCCCATTAAATACTAAATGAACTGAATGAAACTGCAACCAAAAAAATTTTTTCCTCAATGCTGAAACCAAAATTTCCATAAAGTCAGGGGCCAAAGACATGCAGACACAGAGTGATATTGTTTGTATTCTCTGGTTGAAGTAATCTCTGATGTCATAATTAAGGAGCTGAAGGTCTCAGTGGGATCATCACTCCTTTAACTACAAAACCTGAGCCTAAGTGGTCTCACAGAGACTATGCTGATGATCCAAACAACCCTGGCAGGGAATGATTCACAGACTCAATTACCAGGTTTAGACTTTAACATTAAAATTCATGAAATTTATGGTTAGCATGGGTAAGATAGGTGTGCACTATAAAAACTAGGATGGATGTTAGAATATAAAAAACTTAAGAATACATAAGTAATAATAATAATCTAAAATTAACTTAATATTAATAATGAAATATAGAACAGTCAAAGATATACAGCTTAATAAAAAATACAAACGTAAGTAGCATATCAGAGCATAAATGTTCCACACAGGTGAGCGCATGCTTCCTGTATACACACACATTTAACTATCTGGCTGAATGCAAATTGTAACTTTATTTCCATAAGAAAAAGTCACAGATAATTCCTGGCAGCTTTGAAGCTCCTTTCACAAAGCTGCATGAGCATAACCCAGTCATTACAGGGGAGACAATCTCCCTCTTCCTTCCATTAGCTCTTACCGATAGATAGGGATAGGAAGATAGTTCTCTCCTTCGATGCGGATGTCTGGGTACCGCTGGTACAAGGCCTGCGTGTACTCCTCAAACACCCGCTTGTAACCTCAGGAAATACTGTGAGTAAAACACACAAACCAACACACAAGCCATTAGACAACTACACTATGTTTATACAATAACATAAATCAGGAAGTAAGGTTAGTAACAATGCAGGTTTAACTGGATTATGAATAAAACAAAAAAGACTGAATAACCAAGACCATGTTTACTATTGGATAATAAACAATGCATTTTCATTTACTGAATTTATCGTTACATTACACATGAATTCAATTCAGAAGACCACTGTGCAAACGAACGCAATATATAAGGAAACAGTTATTAAGTCAATACCATTTGGTTGTTTAAAACATAGTAGATACGGAGACAAGGCTGCAGCGAAGTTACACTGGAGTCTAGTTGGCAAGAACAAAAATGTAGGGACTGACAAACGACAACAGTCACTGATTAACCTAATCCTCAATCTGCAACTTTATTTGACTGACTGAGAGACAGACAACTCAGGTTTAATTCAAAACTGATGAGCCATATGTGGGTTTATTCTATTTTTTCTAACATATCTACATTCGATGTGTCAAAACAAATGGTGTTCCATATGGTGTACTGCACCGGCGCTACAAACCAAAGAGACTCAATATTTCTAAAACGAAAAAAAAATATTCCTATTAAGTTCAATTATAATCAATCAAAGTATTGGCCTTGAATTACCACATAAATGCAAAACAATGCCTGTCTCAGAACTCGCAGTGTAACGGGGCTTAAAGTAAATCCATCCATTGGCGTTAATCAACAGATGGCTGTCATTGATGGTGTGTCGTTAAGTCTTACATATGTTAACAGCGTCGGATATTGTGTATTATTAAACACAGTTGTCAGGATAAGACATATTGGGTTACGTTTTATATAGTGTTTTGTTTGATTGGTATTACGTTTATTTCGCTGATATTTCACTGGGAATGCTTCTTCTCTAGCTAACTCGTTAGCACATGCTAACTTCCTGCTCGTTCGTTTCTAATAGGATTTGGGCCTTGACTGTTAGCTGTGAGTGTCTCAGCTGTTTCGCAATGACTCGCCACATTTTCTCTCGCTCGTCTTACCAGATTTGGAACTTGAGAAGCGGGCCCGTAGCGAACTGCATCTTCATCTTCTTAATCCCGCTGCTGTCACCGGCCGAGGAACAGCACAGCGAGAAAAGCCCGAGAGCCAGGAACGTAAAACGGAGCCACTTCATGACCATCGGTTCCGGAGTTCGTCTGTCGCCTCTCCGGATCTGCTGGAGAAACTGTGGTCTGATCTGTGAGCGCCGTCTGTGGTTGGTCAAGAGATTACCTCTGGCTATAATATTCAGTTGTAAAAACAGCAGATAACGTTATCAGCGCCATCTAACGACGGCACCGTTTAACTGTAAGTGCAAGAGACTAGTATACAGTATATGTAAAACAGAAAGACTTAATTAAGAATTAATTAAGGACCATTGTTAGTTCAAAAATATTTTTGCTTCTTTGAATCAGTAATAAATATTATTTAATTATCAAACTTTTCATAAAACAGAAAATAAAGTGTTTAATTAAAACAGTAATATTGCTACACTATTAGTTTTAACAAATTTATTTGAAATAGCATAAGAAATAGCAAATAAAATGATTTCTTAATTAGTTAATGCATTAAGGGACAATTATCATTAATTTTAATGGAAACCAATAAAAAACATTGTTATTGCCTGTTATTAACACAAGCTCAAATGATGAACAACAATCTCTTTGGAGTAAAGATACACAAGATGTGACAAAGTAATGTTTGGATACATTTTATTCATCACTTAATTTGTACAATAAAACCAATGAACTGACGTAATGCATAAAAGTCATAAACACACTGTCTTGATGAAGTTTGTGGCCTTATGTTAGTGTTTTTGCCTCGCTGCTCTTTCCTGGTCCACAGCAGACTGCAATGCTTGTACAGTATCTGTAAATGTCACACAACACAAGATTAATAATTGCAAAACTGAAGTATTTCAGCCACTGGCTTCATATGTAGTAGCGTTTTCTGGTGTTTAACTTGAAAGGCACACAAACTTCATATCCTGTAAACAAGCATACAGCCAACATACTTGTATTGTGAAGTAGAAAATACATAATAATACTCAATAAACAGTGAGTCTTTACTTCCATCAAAATACTGGTGTTCAACATAAAAGCTCAAGCAACTCCACTTACAGTCGAGGACAACCACTGGACAATAATTACTGCAATCCATTTGACAATTAATTTTAAGTGTAAAGATGATATGTTAAGAGAATCAAATAATGACTTATACTTGTCTGGGACATGTAATTGTAAAATGTAAAACATTACAATAGAAAATTAGACACCATTATTTGTTTTAATGTTAAATTCTTTATGCGGCTGTGTTGCATTAGGTGATAATAAATGGAGGCACTTTGTAGTAATAGTTATATATATAAAAAAAACCACTGGACAATATAGCAAATAAACAGATAAATAAATCCAATACAAACCAAATAATTTCTGTGAAAAGGTCTTCAGGTCAGGAAGACCTGCCTCGATGTTGTATGCGGTTTTCTCCATTGCCTCTATTAGTCCACTTGCCCTCTGATAAAGAAAAATGATTTTACAATGAAAACAAAATGTGCTATCTCCAGGTGTTAAAAAAAAAAAAAAAAATCAACATCACCTGTAGCTCAACATAAACCTTCTCCTCCAGGTCTGACACTTGGGAAATGGCATCATAAACATCAGCCTCCACAGATTCCTACAGTGTGTAAAAGGAAACTATAGCAATTTAAAAAAATGGAATGACACTAAAAACCTGGTGCTATATTGATTTCTCAATCACTGACCTCATCAGAGGAGCTTTCTATGAGAGCTTGTGCTTTGGGGGCCTCACTGGCTTTGGAGTTTCCACTCAGCTCTTTCACTCTGCAGAAGGGAAAACAAATTAATTTGACTATTCATTTTCATTAGGGCCATCAAGTGTATCAGAACGGTGTTGCATGTCATGTAAAAATGCATTCAAAAATATTTTTTAAAGACATGACAGCTCCACTGAATATTTACCTGTCAGCATAACGCAGGGTGTTCATTGTGTATTCACATGAACTCATGCCAGGAGACACCATGGCAATCTGAGGGTTCAACAAAATTATAATCAAATTTTACATTCTGTGTTTACCTATACACACACACACACACACACTTTGTTCTTTCACGTACCATACAGGTCCTGGACTTTTCGCCAATGAAGGAATCCCTGAGGACCTTGGTTAAAGTGCTCATACGGAAGGGGATGTGATCACTGTTTTTCCCAAGTGACCTGATACACTCCTGTGAGATGCATTAAATTGAACACAGAAATGGCAATAAATGCTCTGGTTCTTCTCTATGGCTTTGAATGAGTAAAAGTTACTTAATTGTTTACCTTAAGTGCCAGGAGGCTGCGGTTGATTTCGGCAGTCTCCACCAAAGTGCTGCGGTCATTGCTGCTGACATCGGTGCCTCGCTCGTTGCCGGCCAAATCCACCAGTGAAAACTTGCCGTACAGCGTGGATGCACGGTCGTTGCGTCGTAGCACAATTTGCAGGATGGCGTGAGAGCGTGAGGAATTGGCATTGGCTGAGGTCTGACCTGATGTCCTAAAAATTACCAAATAGGAATTGTTTTAGAGTTTTACTCTTTTTGAAAATGTTATCATGACTGAAACAACTTTTAATATAAAAATAACCAAATAAATATACATCTGCTTTGAGATGAAAGAATGATGACAAATGTTTCATTAGCACCTGCATGAACTGCCAGCCTGGATCATTTTGATGACATCATCTGCTGTGGTCACATAGACCTCCTCAAGACCCACCACCTGGACCTGCTGTCGGTCATCCTCAAGAACACGGAGCTTGGACTTGTTGTTTAACAGGTCGTACACCTGTGTAAAAGTATGTTATGATTAAAAGGAGTAATACAATGTTTGACCAACGTACAACACTGAGGGAGAAGAATTCTTCCTACTTTGCCGTTGTATATCTCAAAAAAGCTGACAAAAACCGAGAGGTCCAGGTTGGTGTACCTCCTGTGGTTTAGATAGGAGAAAACATCCTGGGCTGAAAACAAAAAAGCCAGAGTAAACATATTACCAATTAGTATTAATCCAAGTTGGTGACTTTTGATGATTTCAGTCATTTTGACAAATGATAATTAATTCTGCAAAACCCTTACAAGCTAGGGCATAAATTCCTTTGGAGCTGTTCTGCTGCTTCCCTGTGAAATCACCTCCCATTGTCTTGAAAAGGCACAATGTAGAAAAAAAATAATTATTTATTTTCTGGTTCCAAAGCAGAACAAACCTGAAAACACAAGAAAAAAAAAAACTTACATGGGTTTTTCCACTTCCTGTCTGCCCATAGGCAAAACAAGTTGCCACGCAACCTTCAAAAATGGACTGCACCAGAGGCTTGGCGGTAAATCTTTAGAGGTTGGAAGGAGAAAACAAAGTCATTGATTAAAGATCATTAAATCAAAATATTCTGATTCCTAAATTACACCACAATAAGCCGACATGATACACTTCTATAGATTGCTTCATCCCAATTAATTATGATTAAAATTTGTAATTTTTTGACAGTCCTAAAAAAACAAAACAAAAACCTTAATGCTGTTATCATAACTGCATTGTCTGATGCATAGAGTGTTAATATCACGTGACTCATTACTTGTAGACCAGGTCGTTGGTGGAACCCTCATCGAAGGAGTAATCAAAGTGAAAGACTTGGTTGTCCAAGTACTTGGTCAGGTCCACCTTCTGTTTTGGCTCATGGACCAACAGAACACCCATCCCAGGTACCGACACCACATCAATCTCTTTCCTGTTGATCTCTGCACACGACAAGAACATTTAAAGTGTACATAAGTTGAATGAGAACTTTTGTTGTTTAGTGTCAGCAGAGGGTTGATGTGTGGACGTGGGCACTTAGTTTACCTTGTTTGTTTAGAGGCCGCTTGCGAACACACACACAAATTTTGTGAGATTCAATCTATGTCAAAAGAAACAAAAAACATTCAGGATCTTAAATACGAGATTTAAATGGCACACGTACACATGCTGCACAAATGCAGGGTTCAAATTTACCTGTTCAGCAGCAGATACTGGGGTTATTTCCAGGGTCTCTCTGAAGTCCTGGATCATTTCGTAGAACTTTTGGTTTGGTCGATGGGCCTCGCCAAACTTCAAAAAAATAAAAAATTACTAAGATCTTGTGATTTAACAATTAAAAAAATATATGCATAAACTGTGTGACCACTTTCTTACTTTTCCCTTCTTCATTTTCACATCTGGGGGCTTTATAGCACAAGACTGCCTTTTGTTGCCTTTGTTCAAGTCTTTAGGAGCAACAGACTTTCTCCTTCCTAAAGCCCATAAGAGACACAAATACAGAGATAGAAATTGTCCACACGGTGATACATCCACGAACAAGAGCGATTCTTCAATGGTGCAGACATAAAGGGTTTTGTATGACATTAAATGTGCATCACTAACCTTGGAATTTAAGGGACGCAGTCATCTTTTCAGGTTCATCATTTTCCTTGACGGCCTCACGGGCTACAGCCAAAGATTGTGCTGGCTTTTTCTCATTTTTTTTACGCTGGCTAGAACTCTCTATAATGAAGCAAAAAAAAAATTGAGTTCGAATTTGATGAATCAAAGACAGCAATGGTCTACATCAGGATTTGATTATACGTTTCTAAATGTACAAACTCTTTATTACCTATGTTTTCTTTTTTAAATTTAGATTCTTACATTTCTTACAACTTCTTTCTTTTGAGAGATTACTGACCAGGATGTGTAGGGACTGGTGGTTGGTGGTGATTAGAGTGGCCATTTTCCAGGCTTTCCTTCGATCTAGTTGTTGTGGTTGGTGATGGCACCAAGGCTGGAGCCTGAAACATCCGAGTCTGCCTGCTTAGACTCCGATTGACGACTGGAAAAAAGAAAAAAAATCCCAACAAGTTAAACAGTGACAGTAGAATTAAGGCCAGTATCTGAGAGCAAGTGATGAGACCCAAACCACCAAACAAAAGAACCGTGGTGCGTTGGTAGGAGAGCTTCTAGTGAAAAGAGAAAAAGCTCATTTATAGGTGCTTTACAATTAGACTATAATCAAAGCACTCATCTAAATTCCCATTTTTAAAAGAGTGACATTGCCATTATTGTGAAATGACTAAGGCATTTAAATCACCCAAAAATGTTGTTCTACTGTTGTGCATAACTTTTTATATTAGTGATTAGTTCCATTAATTAAAGAAATAAAAGGCATTATTAAATTCATAAATAGTGATTTGAGCTGAATTCTTAACTTATTGCCCGACTATATGATTTAAGCAGGGATTTTACTGTTATGCGATTTGCATTTAGTGAGGAGCATGCATGCCTTGCCGACCTGACTCTTCAGCCTGGGTGACAGCTGGAGCAGAGGCTTTTGAGAGAAAACAGTCTGTTTAGTATCAGAATGCTTCATGAAGCAGTCTAACAAACGACACCGTTCATTTGCTTTTACATACATGGAGGTGGGGCAGGGATCCTCGAGGAGCGGAGACGACCCTCATACTTCTGTTGAAGAGAGACTATTGTTTAGTTTCCACAACTTGTATATCACAAGACATAGAACTTCTGATAGAAGATAAAAAACCTTCACTATGAAACAATTCTAAAGTCTAAATGTGGCTATTTGTATTGGAAGAAAATACAGTTTATTTCGATTTGCAGCAGAGTGTGTTACCTTTTCTGGTGCTGGAACGGTGGGTTCTGCAGCCTTATTGGTTATTGTCATTACATGTTCCATCAGCTCTGGATTTTGTACACACAACTCATGTATTTCAACCTAAATACACAGAAACACTTAGAAATCGCAGAACAAAAATTTAATAAAAGTATTTACATTTGTCCCGACCCCCTTCAATAACGTATGATGTTTTATCATTGGCAAAATATATTTCAAAAATATCACTGACCTCCTTCCCTCGGTATGTATTCCTCTCGTGCCATTCTACCATCACCACGGACTTGACCATGTCAACGGATTTGACGGTGGCCAGGTGAACCCGACCTGTTGGCACCAAAACAGACGCTGTTAACAAAGCAGCAGATTTTGAGTTTACTTAATCGTATCAGCACATATACGACACCACCTCACCATCACTGCGGCTGATTTGTACAGAAAGTCCGACAAGAAACCTGGAAAGATTGGCCTCCATGTTTATGCTTATTGCTGCTGCTGTAATAAAACAAAATAAAAGTAACGTTCGCGTTCTTTTGGCGAGTAAATGGAGCCGTTCCACACACTGCTAATGGACGACTTACATACATATAACTATTCCCATCTACTCACAACTATACTAAACTGTCAAAATAGCAAAACAGAACTGACAAATCTTACCGTGTTCTTTGCAAAACAGACAATTCAATGGTGTGTTTTTAAAAATTGAAGCAAACACCGCCCAATATTTAAACTTACACTATTTCCGGGCGTTCAAATATCTGATTGGTTCATCGACATGGCGTCACCGGCATTCTTCTTCTTTTACTAGGGTGTTTCAAATATTTAAAAAAGTGAATTTGTGTTATACTGCCACTATTCGGATTCGTTGTGCATTACATCTTTCAATTTATCTTTCAATTTATCTTTGCAACTTGTAAAAGACTAATGTTGTAAATAATTATTTTTTGAAAAATATGTGTAATGTAAAACAAACAAACAACAGTGTATAGGAAATATTCAAAGTGCCTGAAAAATATGTGTAATGTAAAACATTTTAACAGTGTATAGGAAATATTCAAAGTGCCTATGCTGTCAAAAAATAAATAAATACAAAAATGGCAAACAGTCTCACAAAGTAGGGCCTTCTGCTGCAGGATACTATTAATTGAAAGTGTATTTCAAATGAAACAACGAGGCCTGGATATATGAAACAGTTAGAACCAGAACTAGAGGGAGACTCCAGTGGGTGCCAGAACCTCGATATGAAATATGAAATTGGACAGTTTCTTACTTGTTTATATTACATAAGTATACAACTGTCAGTCTCACATAAGAGATGATGTTGTTGGCATAACAGTTTGTTTACTTTTAATTGCATTTATCAGTGGGGATTAATATATTGTTTTCTTTTAATGTGAAACAGAACATAATCATGACAGATTTGCCTTAATGATCATAAGCATATTGCTAAACTTGTAGAATCGTGTACGCAGTAGAATCCTACATATGTCTGTAGTAGCTTTGATCGCTGCAGTGGCGACTTTATTCATTGCCTATTAGTCAGCTATGGATGCACACTGTGTCATGCAGAGATGACAGGGCAGAGGGAGGGAGATGGGGAAAGGCCACATGAATCATAAAAACATACTAATTTAGCTCATGTTTTAAGAAGAAAACATACAACAACAAGGACAGTAAAGTAAAGGGTGACACTACAGTATCCAATCCAGATACTACAGTAATTGCTAGGGTTCACTAAATTTACCAAGAGAAGAGAGAGATGGTGGAGAGGAAGGAGGACAGACCACTTTAGAAGTCTATTATTGAACCACAAGAACACATGTTAAGGACTCATTGATGGCAGACCGAGCCAAGTGAGGCCGTGGTCGCTAGTTGAAGTGGTTTGACCTGAGTGCCTTGGTGCCTGACTTCAATGGAGGTCTGTCTGACTCAATAATTGCCAGAGAAGAAAGACTGAGTATTGAACTCAGTATGTTATGGTTGGCTTGAATGTTTTCATGTTTAAAAAAATAAAAACATTAAAACAAACATTGTTTGTCGTGAGCCTAACCCAGACTGTTTACATTTCCAACCTGGTAAAGGTACTCAAATGTAAAATAGTTCAAACCTGGGCTCAATCTTCATTCACATTACACGTTGAATAATTTATAGTTTACATTTACTTATAGTTAGGGCAATTTTTTTCTTAAATATGTAAAAACTGCAATAATAAAATACTTTAGGGAATATATTTGAGTATTTTTTTTTCTTTTTTTAACCCACATCTGGTAGACTGTTATTAGGGAAAACATTCTAATCCTCTATTGATATAATCTGACTGCAATTTCAGGAAATATTACTGCATGTATTATATTTTGTATTGCTGTTTTTATTTTACTGTAACCTCCCTTTTTTCAATTTCTAATGTTCTATATGCCATTTTACAAGCTAAATTTATTAGGAAAATGTTTGCCCCAAATACAGATATGTGAAATTAATTCTTATTTTTTTTACCCTTCTCTAACGTTTCACCTTTAACATACAGCAGTAACGTTCTAAACTTGACTAAATCATTCAGAGCTCTGTTACCTACTCGGTCTTAGTTATATCTTCACATTCTTCTAACTACTGTTCAGTTTAGCCTACATCCTTTCATCCACGTCTTTCCATCCTCGTGACCACAGGAGTCCTGTGTTTATCCACATAATCCTTCTCCTCCTGCACCCGCTGCAACCCAGGCACAACAACTCAGTCCCCCATGACATCAACATGCAGGGACAGCTGGAGACTGACCCATAATGCAGTCCAGCCCTGCTTTCAGCGTGGGAGGCTTCTCAGCTCTCCTCTTTATTTTTTGCCCCCCACACCTTACACTGTAACTGTACACATAAACTGATACTGAAGTATTGACGTTCCAACAGGTGGACACTGACACATGACAAACCCGAGGTCTGATAAACAATAGCACTCCCACCCAGCACCCGTGGATGAAAAACAAACAGATCCTCGTCAGTTGGCCCGACCTGGCCATTTGGTGGGTCTGTCTGTCGATGACTGGGTGGCCCAAGGCAGCTCGGTGTGAGGCCTGGGATGGAGCCACAACTGTTTCCTGTGAGCAGCCCAGCCCCCAGAACCTCTCCATAACCAGCTTAGTGGGTGGTATTCCCCTCCTCCTCCTCCTTCCTTTCCTCTTCTCTCCCCCCCCCAAACTCCTACGCCTGTGCCTTTGCCTCAAACGCTCTTCTCCCCCTCCAGTGCTCCCTGCTGCAGGCACACCTCCACGCCTCCCCTTTCTGTTGGTCAGTCTGTCCGTTCTGTTCCTTCCCGGCGGCCTTCTGTGCAGCGCAGGCGTTTCGAAACTGTTCTGGGTTTTTTTCTTGTGCCTCTTGTATTAATGCTGTTCTCGTACCGACTGCATATTTCTGTGCGTGTGTCACGTCTGCTCACTAATGGATATCATAAGCTGTCATCACGTTATTCATATCAGCCCAGAGCCCAGAGCTTTCATCACCGACGTTCTCTGATTGTGAGAATGCATTTCAACAGTGATCCCTGATCAATAACATGGATGGAAAACTTTTAGTGATTATAACAATAATACATACAAAATAAAGATTAAAGCCCTAGATGTTTCCCTTTTCAACCCAATTAATCAAACATGAATTTAATATAAAATATCATATAATTAATGAAGAAGAAAGACGTTATTGGTAAAGGTCACACTACAGTATTCACCATCACATTGCCAATGACTGAAGGAAGAAACCATAAGAAAATGCAAATCACTATTAGTCCAAACTATTGACCAATGACCCGAGTGGAGACTGCGAGGCAACATTTTATTCTGTGTATTAAATTTAATCCAAATTATTGATTACTAATCTGAAACATTTTCTTGCAGTGATAACTGCCACAGCAGGAGACGCCCGTTTTATTCGTAACTGGATAGAAAACTGTTTTGCCGTTCCTTCAGAATGAGTTCTCGCTAGTGTCAGGCCACTGTGCGAAAACAGCTCAGTTGCTCATTTGTTTGCATTACCTCTGCATATTTCGCCTGAAACCACTTCAGCCAAACGTCAGTTTGCTGCATCCGAGCCCAGACCTTCACCAGTCTCTGTTTCTCTGTGTGGACATTAGTGTAATGTTGAAACAGCAGCAGCAGTTTAATCTGCCTCTTTCATAACGTGCTGACTTGTTAATGGCGGTGGGTGATGTGGAGGAGGAAGAGCAGGAGGAGGAGGAGGGGCTTGTATTGTTTGGCCCTGAACTTGTTTCACTGCTCTCCTTTTCCCCCCTGTCTGTCCAAAAGCATATTTTCTCAGTGTAAAGAAAATTGGCAGAGGCCGTGGCTCTGTTCCCCCATACCGAGAACATAAACACACATGGATCCAGTACGTGAGCCGAACACACTCACAAACCACCCAGGAAGGTCGACACGCCTGGAGAGGAGCAACGAGACGAACAGAGAAGATCAACACAGGGAATCACGTCTCTACTGTGTCATTGTGGAGCTATATTTAAATTCAAAGACATAACATTCCATATATTCAGGTAATTATGTCGAGCCGGTAATATTTTGCATAAACATTGACAAAAACTGTCTTCAAACAAAAATCTGAAGCGCATTATTATCTTGAGGGAAATGACCGTAAATGTTTTATATCTTTTATATAAAAATAGGTTTAACTACTTACAGCTTGAACTAGATTACTAAAATGACTATTAAAAATGGACAGTAAATCTGTTAGCAGTGGAATCTTTGACTACTTTGGCTTCTTCTCTGCACAATGTACCAGACATTTCCCAAAAGGAGGCAGATTTGGACTAAAGGGAGACCAATCAAACACATATACACATAAATAAGCTTAAGATGAGACTGAAAAAATCCTGTTACTGTTCCTGTTTTTTTTTTGTTAAACAATTTAAATTTTACTTTGCCTATGTCTAAAGATTTTCAGCCAGAAGAGGGCAATATAGCTGCAAACGGAAGAGAAAGCAGCAACAGGAAAGAGCTGAGGTACTAACAAGACAACTTGATGTGGAACCCTGTATTAAAACATTTTTTTAAAAGAAATCTTCTCTTACGGTGTCAAACACCTGAAGGTCATGTTTGATTTAATGTCATATCACTGAGCCTAATGTGTTTCTTTTTTCAGCTACTTCAGGGACTTAAAACTCCTCCAGCCAAGGAGCCTTACTGAGCAAATGCTGAGTGAGCCTGGAACATTCCCTCATTAATGCATATTAGTATTCTTGGCATGCCGGGCCCTCCTGAAACATGCCAGTGACCCATTTCGCTTCCCGGTCCATCATTTAACAGAATCTTTCATATGCTGCAGCCTCGACTTTCCTCTCCAAAAATGCAACATTTCAAACATTGAAATAGGTCAGTGAGCAGTTTGTCCACCTCTGAGCTCTGCCACACGGAGCCGGCCGTGAGCCAACAGCCACCTTGGGTTGCCCAGCTGGCAATTTGTATTTGTTTCTTCAACTATAATTTTGTTTATTTATCTGGCCTCTGCAGTAAAGAGTGGTCAGAGAAGCATGCACAGCTGCAGTTACACTATGGGAATGGACTTTCTGACCACAGGCTACATCTGCAGCAGCGTTCACAGAGAGTGACTCAAACACATAATTGACTTATAACTGACATACAACAGGGTTTTCTGTTTGCTACCGTACAGGTCTCACATCAGGTCGGTGTCACAATGTGGCCGACGGTCAAAAAAGGATCACAGCCCCAACATGAAATGCATTAGCATGTCTGAAACAGACCTTGAA